GGTCGTGACGGTGTCGACTGACCTGTCGCCCAGAGATGGAAGGGCAAAAAAGCGCCGGCGGCTGTGGTCGGCTTTCAGATGCCGATGACAGACTTGTACAAGCAGTTTATCACGCTGACCTCGGTGACGACGAATCCGCTGATAAATTGCGAGCATAATTGGATCGACTGCTACCTGCTGGACCAGAATGGTTTTGTGGTGATTTCGGAAGCGCATAACGACACCGGACAATTTATGGGCACTCAGGAGGGTGCCGTCATGGTGTCCATGGTCGGCCAGGGTCTCTACAATCCGATCGACATCTATGATTATCAGGGTTGGTGCCGGGAGGTCGTGAGTATCCATATCGAAAAATGATATTCGCTAATCAATTCGATGAAAATTCGAAAGTATTGCTGTATCTAAATTTTGCAGTTGACTTTTCAATAATTATATAAAAATCTGAGAAGAAGAAGTAAACTTTTAATTTTATTGTCACATTAATTGCAATCGAATTGAATATTTATTTTTATAATTTACAGTTATTTATCTTCAATTCTTTCGCATCGACACATCTTGATTGCATTTAATTTTAGTTACAATTACGTTTAAAATCAACGTTTTGCATCAATAACCAAATGATTTTATAACTCGCGAGTGAAAATTTAATTAAATAACCATAATTGATTGTAATATTATTCATTCATTCTGCATAATACATTACGCCGATAATATTCGATTGTCCGGTCCATTTTTTTTCGGTTTGCAAACGCTTTAAGAGCGGGCTGCGTCGAGCTATTTCCGGGACTTTCTAATTGCTTCGCTCCACTTTGCGAAGGAACGAGAATGCTATTATACGGGGCCGCAAATTGTTCTAGCGAATCAAGAACTCCGCCAGCAGCGTAATGGAGCCGCTGCGATACGTCGGTCGGCTGTTGCTTGGGCTCCTGCTACGGCTGATGTGGTTCGCGACCCAGTTCGCGGACCTGCCTGGCATTCACGGCAAGGTCCATCTCGACGAGGACGCGCCCGATCCGCCACCGCCACCGAAACCCTACCTCTATTATTACCCTTGCGATCAGAAAAGGACGCTCTACATACTGAACGAGACCGTCGCTGCTAAAGGCGTCACCAATCACTCCAATTACTGCTCGAGGCCGTTCTACGCCCAGAGAGTCAGTATCTTTCCACAGGCTTGCTTGAAACTGGAAACTTGTGTAATTTCGCTGATTTCTTGGTATTGAGACAAACGGAAAAGTAAATATTGTTCACATACCATCTCGTCTGCAAATTCTAAAATTTCGTTTACGCGGATAGAATTGCGATGTTAGTGTTTTGCGCGATTGTAAGCAATTTAAAAATAAAAAATAGATTGTGCTGTTACACAGCACAATTAGTCACGCATATTCGCATTCTTCAACAAAGAAGTTACAAAACATCTCCTCCAAATATTAAACATTTAACAAATATGGAAGAGTAAAAAAAATACGGGAAATTTTTCTTAAATGTTTGATTTGATTGTTCTTAAAAAAATCTCTTTACTTTCCGACTTTCTCTAATATTAAGAAAAAGTTTTATGCTTTAATTCTTTTTATCAATTAAAACAGATAATTAAGTTTTTAGTTTTATTCTTATTTTTGCTTCTCCTTGTGGTTGTTGTTAATTAATTTTTGTCCTGGTTCGGTAATTATGCATAGGCTTTCAGGTAATTAATTAACATTAAATAAATGTTTTGGAAATTATCAGTCCATCGAATTCATGCATTATGTGTGAATAATGGGAAACAATTATTCATATGTGTCGTAGTGCATTTAACAGTCTGACAAGCAGAAAAATGGTAATAAGTCGATATAATGCGCGTTCGCATCAATATTTATAATTAATATTATAAGTACTATATATGTGCCGTACATATATAATCGAATGAATCGGAAAATTTTTATTGCGAAATTTTTTATCTCTAGAAGAAATTTTGGAATCGATTTTTGATAACAAATTATTGCATTAATAATAATAACGTTTTCTTTCATGTTTTATGTTCTTCAATTGTCAAAATAACGTAACAAAACGTAATATCCGGTCATTGAGTTGCGTATTGTTTTTTTGAAAATATATTTTTAGTCAATTTGCATGTCAATTTTGCAAAGTTGTTTCAAAGAAAAGAAAAGGAAAAACTGTAATAGCAAATATTATAGCATGCAATATTCATTGCATACGCAATGAAAACTGTCATGCGCAACTGACGTAAAAACTCTACTACGCACGTATGCGGTTTTTCATTGAAATATTCAACAAACTATGTATCGTAGGCAAAATATATTTGACGCATTTCAGCAATCGTGACGTCTTTTCGGCATGTTATACACTTAAGAAATTTATATTTAAAATATTCCGTAGTGAGCATCAAAATGCTTCGGTATACTTGAAATAACTTTGCAAAGTGCGTCAATAATTGTAGATTTTGTAGATTTTTTCAAAAATCGAGTTTTGTAATTATTGTATTGCTTTTCATCTTATATCATTATCATATTCTAATTGTTCGTTATAATTGTCAATAATCCACAGGTGGCGCACACCAATCTGCTCTTGGTCGTGGTGGATAGCATGTATCCGACGTGTTACAAGAGATTAGAGGTGACTCCCGCCATTATCTCGCCCCTCGAGTACACAAATAGCACGGCTGACAAACCATGCCACAAGATTCCGCTGAACGCCCTGAAACGGCGCAGGCGGGAGAGCTGCTTCACGGAGCACCCTCTGGAGTATGAGATCAAGGACTGCGGAGGAGCGTCCGGATTGAAAGTGTCCTTGTCGCTAATATATATATTATTATCATTATGTGTCTATGTATAATATAACGAATCAAACCGTCCTCGATATATGTAACTATTGTTTTACAATAAAAAATTAATAATAATGAAGAAAAAAAACACTTTACAATAACGTTTTTTTCCAAAGCGCGGCTATGTAATTTAATTAATAAATAATAAAAGAGTAAATTACTAATAAAGTATAAAATAAGAAAGCATTTTTATCAATTTCTATTTTAAATCAACTGAGCACGCGTCTCTTAATTTACCTCTAAATAAGCAATGAAATAAATTATGTTTCAACACTGTAAGAAAAAAATAAATTTTCTAAAGTTGCCTCCGACCTTTCCCACGGATCCTTTAACCGAGATGACGGCATCGTTTGACGTAGCGACAGATTTTGCGTGTGACAATAATAAACAAGTATCACTTCAATCGTTCACTTAACAATCGTCCTTCTTTTCCTACATCGAAAGACAAACAGTCCCAAGTGGCAAGTGATCATCATCTAATCATAAACGATCATCATCGTTTTTCTGTCGTCATAATGATCAATTATGACGACAAAGACGACATTATTTGCTACTTAGGATCCTTATCAAATTTAACCCGGCAGTCAATGTAGCCGCCGTGTCATTCGGTTCGTGGCGCCCGGTGCGCAAGCCTGTCTGTGGAAAATCGATAAACCTGAAAGAGCGAAGAGAGCGCATAAACCCCGAGTGAGTCGCCACCGTGAGTTAGTGAGTGCGCACGACGACGACGACGACAACGGCGACGACGACAACGACGACCGATCACGTCGACCAGGACGACCGCCAGCATCCTTGATGCGAGACGCCAGCCTCAGTTTTGTTTAGCGTGCCCTCGCGTGAACAACCCTCCGGCAGGGAACGGACCAAAGGGTGGCCAGACGAAGGTGGTTCAGGGGAAAGTTATGAGGTCCTGCTTCTTACCTGTCGTCGTCGTTCTGATTCTGATCGAGGTACCCGATCGTAGCAGCAGCACCCAGTTCGAAATGTAAGAACAACGCTCGTGGCGTCCCGATAATCCGCCTTGTCTCTGTTTGTGCGATCCCTCGTAATGTACCGCAGCGGTATCGTCAACATCTCGCGCGTTTCGTGACACAATAAACACGAACGCTCCACCGTGTACGTGGTAATGAGGCGATAAATGATATTTAGGTCAACCGTGAAGGACCGTGTCTGTCGATGGAATCGTCGCAGCGACGGCGTGCTCTATATAACAGACAGATTTAAGAACAACAGAAAATTATTAATGCATTTATTTTTTAATACAGTGGTGTTTAAAAAAACTGCATTACTTTCTTAACGTTTAAACATTTTTTAACACTCAATCCACCGAGTCGTTTTCGTCTAGTGGACAGAAAATATGCAAAAACTGTTAATTATTCATGATTTTGTATGATAAATATTATGGCAAGTCTGTTTCTGTAACTGATAAGCTGATAAAATATTTGTGACTTTTTATTTACAATTTTCTTTCTCAAATGTCGAATAATTTTGTTAAAATTTTATAAAAATCAATTTTTATAACATAATTTTTTTAAACCACTGTATTGTTGTTTCACGAAGATTATTCGCATTATTATTAAGTTCAACAAAATTAATTGTTTTATACGCTCAAATTAAAGTAAAACGGGTAACTTTTTTGATTCACTTGTAGGAAAGTGAAATTATGACTCATGTTTGCTCGTACTTCTCATCGAGAAATGGATTTATTCACGAATATATAAGAATACTGTTTCGTTAGGTCACCGTCGTATTCAATCAATTAATTATTCGCACAATGTTATTGTTCGCCGTGTTTTCTTTTGCGTATCATTCGTCATATGAGATCTTACACATATTAATGAAGAAATAATAGAAATTAATAAAATACGATGTAATATAAACAAATAATAAATTAAATCGTAAGATTGTCTCACTAACTTTGCCATCACAATAATCATTGTTGTTGCTCTTTGCTATTTCATATGACAGAGTGAGAACATGGGCGAACAAGTTAGGCTACGAACTATGGACGTTGGGCAAGTATGTGACGAAGATGGACAAGTTTCGAGAGAGTTACAAGACAGCGGAAGTCACACCACGTGACGGAAGAACCCTCGTGCACGAAATCGCTAAAGACATCAAGACCATGATGGAGTCCAAGATTTCGGCTATAAAGGTACGATTTTCTTATTCATCCAATTGCGACTGAAATTACAAATCGCATCTTAATTAATAGATACCATACGATCGCTCACTGAACTAATTTCCGTTTATCTTTACCGAGCATTTTATTATTAGATTTTTCTAACCCTTAAAGAACGAGAAGTTAATTTTTTATGTTATCCTGCAGAATAAAATCTTTGATACAATTGTAAAAAAATATGAGAACAAAATCGTATCAATGCAAAATCAGAAAATCAATTTTTTTTTTTAATTCTTTCGATATCTTTAAGCGTATTCCAATTCCATTTTTGCTTTCAGAGGATAATGGACGTGGCCGAGACGTCAGCGATGTCGTCCCCTCCTATGGATCCGCCGGAGTCCTACGAGTTTGTCAACGCAAAGAACAACACAATCGACTTCGAGAACAGTCGACACTTCGGCGGTTACGTAAACCTCAACATGTCGGCAGTGCATGTGCCTACAAACGTGTACGAGCGCGCGTCGAATGTCATCCGCGCTATCAAGTGGTCCGAAGAGCTCGACCGTACCTTCATCAATAATTACGAGCAGGACCCGTCGTTGTCCTGGCAGTATTTCGGCAGCGCGACCGGCTTCATGCGCCAGTACCCGGCCATAAATTGGAGCATGCAGCCGGTGGATCTGTTCGATTGCCGGACGAGAAGCTGGTACATCGAGGCGGCCACCAGTCCTAAGGACATTCTCATCCTGATGGACACGTCCGGTAGCATGACCGGCATACGACGAGAAATCGCTAGGCACGTTATAAACAACATCCTCGACACTCTCGGCAACAATGACTTCGTCAACATTATCACGTTCAACAACGTGACCAAAGAGGTAAAAGAGTAATTTAAAAAAAAATTCCTCAAAATTTATTACAAAAGAAATTGCAATTATCAAAGATTTTAAATGCGCAATGAAAGATACTTTATTAGAAAGATTAGAAAGACCCAGAAATGTGCAAACTAAAATCGGTAAGAAACATTTTGATCAATTCGATCGATTCACAAATAAAAAGTTAAATTATACTGTTACGAATATTCTGAAGAAACCGCGATTCTTACAATGCGCACTCTTGATCCAAGCATACAGATATAAACGAATCTTAATTAATAATACTGTCGACTGAATGATTAGAAATAAATTGTTAATTTTTCAGGTGGTGCCGTGTTTCAACGACACTCTCGTCCAGGCGAATCTGGCGAACGTACGGGAGCTGAAGCTAGCCATATCGGACCTCGAGACGGTGAACATCGCCAACTTCACCCTGGCGCTAACCACCGCGTTCGAGCTGCTCGAGGTGTTCCGCAACGAGCGGGAGGGTGCCAAGTGCAATCAAGCGATCATGCTGATCACCGACGGCGTGCCGTACAACTACAATGAGATCTTCAAGACGTACAATTGGAAAGATCAGGACGAGCCGACGGACATGCCCGTCCGCGTGTTCACCTATCTGATCGGCCGGGAGGTCGCGGACACGCGCGAAGTGAACTGGATGGCCTGCGCGAACCGAGGATACTACGTGCATCTGTGCACCCCGGCGGAAGTGAGAGAGGAGGTCGGGCATCGTCGAATTTATTAACCAGTTTAACGGCCAATTTGCTAATCGTAGAAATTTTAATACGGAAGACTAGAGAGTAGAGTTTCTCACAAACACTCGAGACAACCATTCCGTTTCACCGCAGCAATTTCGATCTGTTTGTTTATGGAATTTTTTTCTGTGTTTACCAGGTGCTAAAATATGTGCCGGTAATGGCGAGGCCGCTTGTGCTAGGTCGCACGGACCATCCGACCATCTGGACGCCCGTATACGCCGACATAACCGACCCGAAGATCACCGACTGGCTGTGGGAGCAGCGCGAGAGCGAGGAGCAGAAGGAGCGCTTCCTGCTCTACCACCGAAATAAGAAGTACTTGAATTTGGAGGAGGATCGGCGCTTCTGGAAGAAGCGGTGGCACGAGGACAGCGAACAGAACAAGCCTAATTACAAGCTGATGACTTCGGTTAGCATGCCGGTGTTCGATCGGCGCGAGAACGCAGTAAGATTCTCATTCGTTTCTTATTATTCTGAGAAAAAGAGAAAGAAACATTGAAAGTCGGCCGGCGCAAAAGACGACAATTAGCCTATACATTGTCGATGAAGAACGGCCGAGAAGGATCAAGCTCGAATCGTTTTCTCGTACGTTTGAGAACTTCGAAATCGCTTGTCATTGTCAAAAAAATCACTCACTTTTTGTCTGTTATATGTGTCTCCATTTCATCACGTTTCTCGCGATGTCTCTCATAAATTCCCGAAATTTTGCATATACATAAATTCTTTTCTCCATATACCCGAAAGTGAAGAAAATGTGAGATAAAAGTTTCCCGCGCGAATCACATTCTCCCACGGTATAAATCCTACGCTGCACTTGCCCCGGTTTTAAGCTCCTCTTTGTCCACAGAACATCACAAGGCAAGTGCTGGTGAACGAAGCGTACTGGGTGACAGAGACAAGAGAGGTTGGCAGCTAAAGCAAAAAAAAAAAAGCTCAAGCAACGTTGTTCTATGATGCATATAGAGTACATCCTGTACCTTTACCTTTCGTTTTTCTCGCGCGCGACCGACGACCTACGACCTCATCTTCAATTCTAATCCGTTTAACAGATCTTAATTCATCACTCGTTAGACTCATCGAACTCGTAGAGTACTCTCATTCCGAGTCGATAATGTGAATGAACGTGAGATATTGATAATAATAAACGTGAGAACGCTCGAGCGGCAGTTTCTGTTCTTGGAAAAATTTAGTCGCGTTGCAAAAGATGCTGGGACGAGGTCGTGGACGCGCATAGATCTCTTTTAGGTCCACATTCGACTCTCTGGTATCTTATGTTGATCTCTAACGTTAGTTACTGGGATTATTTCAAGTTATTAGGTAGGTTTAGGTACGTTAGTCTACCCTGTGTCCTGTCGAGACGAGTAGAAAAAGGCAAAGTTCTGCCCGCCTGTTGGATTGAGTACGGCGAAAAAAATTTCCTCGTATAAAGATTGATTCGTAGAGATCGTTCTGCAGTGACTATAACTATACATCTATATAATGCGAGAGAGAAATATTAATCGGAGAGGAGCAAGTGAATAAGAAAAGAAAAAAAAAAAAAAAAACAACATTAGCTCGAACCTTCAAAATCGATCGACTCCGAAAAAAGATTTAATTTTAATTTTGAAAAAGAAAATAAAATTTAAAATTGTAATAGAAGAATAATGCGATTTTTTATCACGCTAATAATAATAATTGTTCCTTCCAAACACTTGCTCCTTCCATTACGAGCAGGCACGCACGTACACGAATACGAATTTTGGCAGTTTATTGAGTGCTAGATTTCGTTAGTCAGAGACATTCGTAGATCTAATTCAAGAGACGACCTCTCTGAATATTATCTTAATTAATCTCGCACACACAATCTTGTGACATCCAGCTAAACGAAAATTTTATCTCTCATGTACTTATTAAAAATTATTAAAATTAAAATAAAATTATTTTTAAAAAATTATTCTTACATGTTACAAAAAAGAAATACATAATTTTTGTCTGAAGTAAGAAAAGAGAGAAAGGTCGTCACTTCGAAAGGACAGAGTTAATTGTTACTTAAACTAACACTTAGGGTAGCCTGCGTCCGATGTTGTTAATTAATCATAGAGAGAATTTGTTGTTTAATTATCATAGTTTTCATTGTGTGTATCATTATTATTATTATTATTATCGCACACATTGAGATAGTAGTTGAGCTAGTTATTGCGTCTAATCGCAAAAGACTCACACTCTTTTTATTACTCGTCCCTCTCGCGCGCAATTTTGCAATTAAACATTTTTTTTCATATATAAATACCTCCAAAGGCAATTTTGATATTTACGCGATTTTCTACATTCTTAATATATTCGCCAATTGTTTTTCAAATATTTTACTATAAATGCCATTTTTATTCGAGAAAACGTTTAGTGACGATATCGCTCTGCAAAATTTGCAATAATGCAGAGCTAATTATCATGCTAATAATTCAGATAAACGTTTTCACGTTTATCGTTCATGTTTCATCGACCAAAAAAATTAAGACCATGCTCATCGTTAAACACACGCGAGGGGGTGACATACGACTCTCACACGTATGGTTTCTTGATACTTATATTGAGACGTGTTTTTTCTGTAGACGAACTCATTGTGATAGAACGTTGTTGGAGAAGGTAGATTACGCTTCTGGTTATGCGACTTATGAGATGATAATAATTCGTAATTTATTTCGGACATAACGACGTTGTCATGACATGATAGCGGCGTCACGCAACGGGCGGCAGATTCTTTAATAAACGTATCATTAATTATCTGCGCAGACAATGATCGCCAATCTCCTCGGTGTTGCCGGCACGGATGTACCAATTGAAGAGATCCAGAAGCTAATGATTCCGCACATGGTGAGTGTAATTATACTGCCAATTACATTAATTTCAATTCTGTTCATTTTATCATTTATTTTTATTGTCGGCAATAATGGCGACAACAGTAATCAAGCAGCTGCAAATGAATATTGATTCGGAATATTTCAAACCCGAGATACAACAGATTACGCAATCAAGATTTCTAAATTTCAAGATTTATGAGAGTTAAAATTAATTAAAATCAATTATTTTATCAACTGGCTGAATATTTCCAAATTTATTTATTTAAAAAATAAAATTTTGATCATTAATAACGCTACCTTTAGCTTCTATTGCTTAATGTATTTGTCATAGATTAGATTCGAGGGATAAGTTAAAGTGTTCCGTAATCGACGTTACACGATATGATGAAACAGTACGATACTAAAATAATAAATGAGATACTTAAATGAGGGGTCAAGTGCCTCTTTGGGCATCGAACACGACTCTATTAAGAAGAGTTGGCACGGAAATGCTATTAATATCCATCATAGCCTTTTACGAAGCCGACAGCTGCATCAATTGACGATGCATGACGAATGTAAATCACGATAATACGATTTTTCATTGTATGTTTTTTTTTTTTCTCTTTTTTCTCGTGCGCATGGGACCAGCTTGGCGTCAACGGCTACGCATTCATCGTGACTAATAATGGTTTCATCCTGATTCATCCCGATCTCCGGCCAGTGGTAATGCTCTTTTAATCATATTAGCATATTGAATTCTGCACACTTGTCTATAGGTGTGCTCGTATCACGTACACAACAGACAATCTGATGTCTATATTACGTAGAATTGCGAAATTTTTTTTCATGACCTCATGAATTATTATGTATATTGAATTTTTTGTATATTTAATTCGATATCGTGTGTATTAAATTTTTTTGTATCTCTCGACACATTGAATTATTTTATACTTTTAATAATAAAAACGGTAAAAATAACATACGTTATGCGAAAACAGTTCCAGGGCATTTTGAAACCGGCGTATAACAGCGTCGATATGGCGGAGATCGAGCTAATGGATAACGACAAAGGCCCCAGAGAATTTGACGAAGGCATGGTTATGGTAAATAAAAATTTTATAAAAACTTAAAAAAGTATATAAAATAGTAAATTATTAAAATTTTCAAATGCTTAGCTAGAAAATTTCCAACAAATAAAGTAATTTCTGTAATAAAAGTTGAACATCAGTGACGCGTACACTTATGCAACACTATAGTTACACGTGTGGCTAGTATTTAAGTAATTAAATAAGCTATCATGTAATTTTTATCGCATTTTGCGCAGCTTCGCAACGATGTGGTGAATCAGGCGAATGGTAGCGTGACACTCCATACAAAATATCATTACGATAATATGGTGAGTAAATTGCTATAACATTTAACGCTAAATATATAATTCAATGATAGTTTCAGTCTTATAATTGCAGTTAAAAAATTCTTCTAATATTCCCAACATTTTTTTCAAAAAAATATCAAAGAAAATGCAAAAAAAATAGAAAAATATTTAAAAAAATAATATAGTACAGTTATTATTCGATATCTAAAGATTGATATTTATCTTTATTAAATTTATTAATTAATTGTGTTGCTTCTCTAGAAACGTGTCGGCAGGGTGAAGAGAAAATATGATTATACGGGAATTATGGACACACCGTTCACTATAGTGGTTAGCTTACCCGAGCACGATCACATTGGAAATTATCACGTGCGCGCTACCGAGGAGATACATCGATCTCACGCTAAAGGTACGTATTTTCATCCTATCGAAATATCCTGCGCAACGACGAAAGCTTTGAAACGATTTTCTTTTCGTAAAAATTGATCAATTCTTACGAAGAGCCGCTTATTCCATCTCAAATGTTTCTTTATTAGATAAAAACTGTTTAACTTTCTCAAATGCTAAAAGATAATCGCGTTTGATTAAATGATGATTTTTTTTATTTGTTAATATGCAATGTAATATTATATCAAACTATTTATTTAACATCATTATATTTTTCACTTAAAAATATTGACAACCTATGTCAGAATTCTTTAACTAGTATTATTTGTACATTTGTCATAATATAAATTTTTTAATTTAAATATATTTTAGAAGAAATATCGATAAAAAGTCGAGAAATTTCAGTTAAGGTCTTCTAAAAGTGCAAACAAATCAGCAACAAAGCTGAAAACTTTTTCAGTAGAAAATAATGTTTATGATCAGACGGCCGGGGCAGTTTGATCTATTCTTTAACACCTTGTGATGAGCTTCGCGAAAGTTGACATGAGCACAATAAGTTTCCTGTCTAAATATAGATTTTATGTAGGATCTCATATATACGGGACGATCGTAAAGTTTCGTCATAAAGTTCTGGCAAACTTAGTTCAAAGTTGGAGAAATGTTTGAGGAGTGGGCTTTGTGTCACGTCAATTGTGAGATTCACGATATCGCCGGACGCTTCACATAAAACCAAAGTTCCCGATAAGGAAACTTTTGTTTCTGCCGTGGAGGGAACATTTATCGCGTCGATTCTGGCAAGCAAAGTTACAATCTCTTAATAAATATTTCTATATAAACGAGACAAATGAGAAAGTTGTTTGGAAACGCTTGTCACGCTTTTAGAAGTTTGGAAATGTTTATCAAGCTTTCAAAATTCAATTAATACGAAATGCTACAATAATATAACATTCATATTTTCTTAAAAGACACAAATATTATCTTGGAAACAAAGATAGCGGTTGGGACAACTAATTTTTCTAAATTACGAAAATAATATTTTTATTTTTATTCGCCATGAGATGGAAACGCAACAACTTGTAAATCAAATTCATTGACAATCTTAATGTCTTCAAACGCTAAGTTAAGCTGCTAGCTTTCTTCTCTTTAATTTATCGAAGCTTTCGTCGCTGATCGGTATCTAAATCTGTACATCGCCAGATTTGAACTATTTGGACTATTGTAGGGAAAAACGTGACAGATTACTTCGCGGGTAGTAACTGGCGGGTGCACCCCGATTGGATGTACTGCAAGTAAGTCGCACGAGTTCTTTGCAACGAAAAATCTCAGTTTATGCGAGGTCTGTTCTTTTTAGTTCCAAATTATGCCTCCTGTACTAAAATGCGATAAGTGTGCGCTATTCGATGAGGGAGAAGAAAAGAAACGCAACTAGAAAGAGCAGATCCATCGCGTGATAAGACTTATTTATACGAATTTCTTGAACCTTAGGTACCACTACGAGGGTGAACACAGGTTCGAAACCTCGGAGTTGCAGCTCCTGCACTTTCTGGAGCGTACCCGTCAGCCAGGCTGGAAGTGGATCGACATGAAGCAGCGATCCCAGCCGCCGGAATACTCCGCCACGAGTTCCAATCATAGTTCTCATCGTAAGTCACGAGGTTCATTGATTATGTATATGTCATTTTTTATCACTGTGTGTTATTACATATTTCACAAAAATGCTTCGCACAATACCAAAATAATTTTTTCCACTGCTGTATATTTATAAAAAACAATTTTCATAATTTCGTAACGTAGATTTAAAATCGAGATAGAAGTAATTTGAGTCTATTAAATTTGTATTCATAAAATAAATGCAATTTATAAAAAATGATATTATATTTATGTTATTTTGACAGCAAATCCTTACAAAGCCGATCGGAACTCGTATTACTGCGACAGGAACCTACTGCAAAGTCTGGTGTTTGACGCTAAGGTAACCGAGTGGTTTGCCCAGCAAACCCCAGCAAATCCCAGCACCAACCGCGAAGAATCAGGGTGAGCATAATTTTGATTGATTAGCCATAAGACGTAAAATCACTCTATGCAGCATGCGGCCAGCCAACTATCGGGGAAACGAATTTTCCTTTCCTCGTTATTCACATAACCGAGCACGTGATTAGCTGGTCGAATTTTTTCAATAAAACTACTCGAATTTTATATCAATCCGTTGTTAATAAATTCGAAATTTTAAAATTAACGCGTAAAAATTAATCGCTATATAATATTGTTTCAGGGACATCATACATCTGATAAAAAATAACATTTATTAAATCAAAAAAATCAAAAAATAATTTGACAGAGCAAAATTCTGAAGTTAGAGATTTTAAATTAACAAGTTAAAATTGTCGATGATCTATGTATCAAGAGATGATGCGTCAAAACATTTTCGTAGAAATAAAAATCGAGTGTCTATTCGCTGCTCGGCACGTCTTCAGGACGGAGACGTCACTCTTTCTCTATCACTCGTGTTTTCCTTATCGCAATTAAAACTTACACTCGCGCTCACTTTTACACACGAATATTTCGCCCCATATTATACTTTGTTTCTATATTTTGTGCACAATTTTTCTCTTTCTCTCTCTCTCTCTCTCTTTTTCTCTCTTTCTCTCTCTCTCTCTCTCTCTCTCTGTCTCTCTGTATCATAGATTCTATTCGGTACTTTTCTTCACTTTGTTCTTTCTTTGTTTCCATTAAAAAAATACATAATTTTTCTATTTAATAGAGCTCCTGTTTACTTGAATTCACTTGAATAACAAAAACTTTTATTAATTGATGCTGCGCACTCATTTGATTATCATCGTAATGCGCCGCCGCCGTAATTCGGTCAGAACAAAGCAGAATAAGATCGTGCGCAAAGTATATCATCCATTCGAAGGAAGCAAAAATTGTTTTAAAAAATTAATTGATCCAATTATCGTCGATTGTAGCGGACAGCTACAATATCGAGTTTCTATTTATTGCAGACTGTATTGTAAATATTTCATCACATATTTTCCGTGCATCTTGCAAAATCTCTATTTCCTTCCACTCAACAATTTCTCATTGGAAAATTACGTTTGTTATCTTTTTCATATTTTCGTATTTGAATTGTTAAAATTTCTCGCAATTCTTTTTTTCTCGATTGATTCGCTATACCAATTTAATTTTGGCTTTCTTTCTCTTTTTATGTCTTAATTTTGTTAATGTCTTTTTTTCTCTCTCTCTCTCTTTCTTTCTCTCTTGGTCTCTCTCTCTCTCTCTCTCTCTCTCTCTCTCTCTCTCTCTTCGTCTTTCAACATCTCGAGGTCGGCGCAGATTAGCTTGCAAGCCGCCGTAGGACAAACGTCATCTTTCAGGAACGGAAGCCTGAAGAGGAGGAACGCTTTGCGAGTAACGCTGTAAAGCAAGAGGACTTTTCCGACATGCAATTGATCAATTGCTGCAATAGTGTCTTTGAAAGTATCCATCCGCTCATTCGCGCCATTCTAAATAATTCTTTCTCTAGCCGTAAAATCTTTCATAGTGAATCTTACTTTAGTACATATTTAATTTATCTCGACAATAAAGAAATTAATAAAAATCCACACATTATGCAAAAATATTAAACATACGCAAGGAATGATGGAGCAGCGTGATTTATCTTCAACGAATGATTTTGTTTGACGAATATTCACGACTGTATCTTTCTTACCAATCGCGATTATAAAACAATATGATTTGCGATGTAGTCTTCTTCTATTTTTATTTTGAATGCTATTTTCCGCAAAGTCACAGTGAGCAAATGGCGCGAGCGAGTTTGCAAGCTTGCGCAAAACTTTGAGGCTTGTGTACATCATATTGTATTTGCGACTCGAGTGTGTATCGTAAGACGCTCTTGTAAATGCGCAAGTAAACGCCAGTTCGAGTCGAATCGGACGACCCGCTTCACCGTCATTGAGGTGTACTTTTCCCGTAGGAAGCAATTCCAACAACGCTTCGGAATCACCCTGGCGTTCATGGCCACGCACAGCGGTCTGACCAGGTGGCAGAACTACCCGATGGACGAAGACGTGCCGTTGCCGGGGGATCAATTCAATAAGCAGCATTCCCGAGCCATCGACGAGGTGTGGTATAGGCGAGCGGTCGAGCAACACTATGTGCTGCCAGAGAGCTTCGTCTTTTCTGTCCCCATCGACGAGGAAGGTGCCGACAACACCACTCTGGTTATCGCCAGTCACGCAATATTCATCGGTGAGTCGACGTTCAAAACCGCTGCTCAAAAGTGAGAGAGAAAAGAGAATTTCTTCCAATTTCGATATGTTCAAATCAATAAGTGATAAATTAGCAAATTAATAATAATTAATAACTAACTGATTACTTTATCAGTCTTTAAAAATTTCTTGGAAGTCTTCACAAAAAATATTCGTAGTTTTTTAAATATTGTAAAGTAAACTTTGGATAAATATAGATTTTTTCTGTGAACGACACACAATTCTATATTTGAATACTTTAAATGTCTGGAATACCTTGGAATGTGCTTCGTCAAAATTGGAATTAAATAAGCGAATCGTTAAAAGTTAACTGAATTAAAATAAGTTATTCCAATTGAAAAAAAAAAACTTAATAGCGTTCTAATCTCGGCGCTGCGAAGAAAATAAAAGGAAACAAAAAATAAAACTTAAAGAGACTTCTTACAATTGATCTATAATTTAAATTATATATGTGCGGCGAATATAACTAAAACTAGATACTAAAAAAAGAAAAAATTTGCAGGAGAGGGAGGGAAGGCGAACGCACCGGCCGCAGTAGTTGGCTTTCAATTCCAGCACACTGCCCTGCAGACGCTTTTTCAGAACATAACATTCAATTGCGGATCGGATAGTTGTGGCGGTCTCAAACACTGTGGCGACGACACTCTAGCATGCTACCTGATCGACGACAACGGCTACATAATCGCGGCCAAGAGCGAAGCGGATGCCGGGAAGTTCTTCGGCGAAATCAGAGGTCCGATAATGAACAGTCTGGTCAAGGACGGCGTCTACGAGAGGATAAGGATCTTCGACTATCAAGCAGTATGCTTCAAGAACGCGCAGACTAACAACGCCGCCAATATTTTACTCACGGTGAGAATTTCAAATTGCGGTAACAATAATATTTTACATCCTTCAATAATAACATTCTCTCTAATCCTCGAACGATAATAAATCGTGCCGATTGAAACCGACTCAAGAAATATACGAGAGATTTAATTAGAAACAAATGCGAAAGCTCTCTGTCCACTCTAGAGTTAAGTAAAAAAAAAAAAATTCTGATGTCGTAGCCATGGAAGCATCTACAGAAAGCCGTGTTCTGGCTAGTCAGTCAGATCACGTGGGTCTGGGCGAAAGCTGGCATAATGGATGATTATGAATCGTTTGGCTATGTCAGCGACGAAGAATCGGTCCACAACGATTCTGACGAGAGCGAGAAGCCCTCCCTATCGAGCGAACCGAAGGATGACAGATCCTTCGACCACGTCTTCATAAATCGCACCCGGCTGGAAGTTTGCGATCAAGAGGTAAGAATAAATTCGACAATTTTGCTCCGCGCGGTTCAACAACTAAGAAGGAACTGAAAGATGGCTCGATGGCGATCGGAATGTCTCTGAATAAGCGGTTTCTCGCTGATAATTTCTAATTTATCTTATTTTACAATTTTCAAACATATCGTTTTTACTCACAGGTATTCCTGTACCTGCGCAACGCCACGTTCAACGCGTACTACATAGACTCGGACGAGAACTGCGTGCGGCCGTACGTGGCGCAGCCGGTGCCTCACAGCAACATGCTGCTGATAGTGGTGAACATCGGCTGCAGCGACACGTCGTTGCCGCCGCTGAGCATCGAGCCCGAGGAGGTGAACTACGAGAACAACACGCTCGTCTGCCAGAAAGCGCTCACCGGCCTTAAGCGAAAGCGGCCGCAGTCCTGCATACGCTCGCATCCGCGTGAGAGCGAGATCAAGCATCAGTGCGGCCTGGCGACAAGCGCCAGATCGAATCTGCTTCACCTGACGACGATGCTGCTGCTGATGTGCACGCTGACCGGAAGGCCCGTCCATATTTTCGGCTGAATTTCGTAGCCGACGATCCCAGTGTTAAACCACGGTCGACACGGTCTCGACAATGAAACTCACGATACACTGCGAATTGAATGGACTCTCTCGCAACTGCGAAATTTCGCCTGACGAACGTGTCGGGATACTCGCACATCCGTTTCGATGATCAGAATTGCTACACAGCGCAGATTCGACGCGATTTTTCTCATTCACGATTATTTCTTGCCTTTGCCAGTTGATGAAAACTGTCTTTTCTCCGCGAACCAGGATTTCAAGCATAATTGCATTTAACTTCGCATCTTCGAATAATTAAAGCAATCAAAATTATTCTCTGAAATTAATTTTGAACTTCAGGAACAGATATCACGTATAAATCATATCAACAAATGTTTGATACATTATTTGATAATTAATAATTATTTTACAATTTTAGGTGTAATGTGGCGCAATAAAATTGAAGGAGAAGAAATAAATTTGTCCTTTCAAAGATTCTAGTATTAAAAAACCAATGAAAAACTAATTAAACAGAGAGATATAAGAAAAAGCAAAAAAAAAACCTTTCTCTCTCTCCTTTTTCTAAAATTTGTTAAGATTTCTTGAATTAAAATATTTCCACATACTTAAATATTAAATATTTTAACTTAATTAAATTACTGTATATTTTTGTAAATACGAAACTCTTTAAGAAGACCATAATATTATAAACGTTTATATCACGAATTAAACGATTCTTCAGCTAGAAAATCGCAATATCTGTCTAATTCTCCGTTATGATATTTCTTCGTATTTTCACGTAATTTTCGGCAAGCATGTGTATCAACTCTGATCACACGAACGCCCTGAGATATTCTATGCTCTCTACCTCTCGTTACTGCGATCAGGCTGTAAACCCTCCTCTGTGCGGACGCAGTCGAGTTGCTCTTAAGACGAATTTACCGTGCGATCCGATCCTGCCCGGTACGCCCAAGTTTCTACGCGAAGTAACGCGATCAATCAAACGTGGCGAACGCGCAATCGATATCAAAATGTTTGCTAAGATAAAAAAAAAAAATTACCCTCCCATCTCGTCATCGATCGTCGAATCAGATTAGATGATCAGAAATTAGATGCGCTTAGCGTAGAGTCGTTCGCTGACACACTTTCGATCATGGCGCAGAGAAGCGTATTGTGATTCGATGAGAAATTTTTATAGATGCATTCCAAAAGTACGTCGTGAAAAATGGATAGATTAAGATAAGAAAAAAATCGACGGGCAAATCCGTTCTTTAAATTCGATGCATTTCAATTTCACCAGCCAGATTACCTTTAATCTATCCATCTTCCTTTCGGTACTTCAGGCTTCGAATCTGAATAAGTGGTGTAATCTAAGTTTCAGCAAACAAGGCGAAAGAAGCATATAGAATGTATAATTGTCTGGAGAAACATAGATTTTTCTAGCTGTCGGAGCAGGGTCGCGTACTCACACACGGCGCATGTTCACGAATACGCTACAATCGGCATTCGTATTCGCGCTTTGTATATTAATAGATCGACGATGGCGGCGGCGGCGGTGGCGGCGGCGGCGGCGACGGCGAAACGGCACCGCGTCGTTATTTGACACTTACAGAAGATTACGGAACGTTAATTTTGTATATTACTGTATTATACGGAGATGTGTAAAGAAATGTGTGTGTGTGCCTTTGGACACGCGGTTAAGACGAAAAGTGGAAAAAAGAAAAGAAAAAAAAATGAAATACAAAATCTCGTTGTATGTTTATCGAGTATAAATCACCGAACATTCTATATATGTATATTATTGCTGAATTAACTCCGGCTTCCGGATGGCAATCTCGTCGTCTCGCGACGAACGGATTTTGTTCGGGGAACGGAGCGATGTTGTTTGTATTACATAGAGTTTATTACGATTTGCTATGTACAACGGCTTGCCTATGTAAAACGAGGACGTTTTCGTATCAAAAAATGACAACTTTTCAAGAGAAGATTTTAGCCTTATTTACTTCAATCGCATCTCCTGCTCTCTTTTTCTCTCTCGCACCGAGCTTACCGTCCTTGTGCCTATCCTGTCCTGAATGTCCGGAATATCCTCTAATATATTCTCCAACACACCACACTTCATTCTGCGTGAGCCTCTTCCCGTAGAAAGTTCTGTTCTGCAGTTCGCGAACGTGTCTTACTTGTTTAAACGAACAATTCAAATGAATGAATCGCGCGTTGTGAAGTATCGGGCGTTATTAATGCAGCCAACTGTGATAATTAATTTGGTTGGCAACACATAAATTATTTTCATTGGTCAGATACACTAGCCATCTTACGGTCAAATATTAATCTATGTTCAAGTTTATCTAATTGTTACTATTATTTCTATCTATCATACGTTAGATCTATGGTTGTCAATTATTGACTAAATAATTTCAAATCAAGAAAATTATGTGTGTTGTATGCTGTATGTTGGAATTCATGGATGTATGATAATTCTTACCTTTTGTTATTCGATATTTATTTCAGATAGATTCGTGACAAATCATTGTCATTATACATTTTCCAACAATAAATTAGAAATTGTGTTGCGAACCATAATTTCAAACATATAGTTATATTTGATTAAAAAAATGATCAAAACACTTCTTTTTAATCATTTTCAAAATGCATCCGACATTCGATAAATCCCATGAAACAAATTCTCATGGAAGAAGAAGAAAGTATCAAGCAAGTATTGTGCTTTTACCGCCAAATGCGGAATCTTTCCGGATGCATAAATGATGCCCATTCACTTACATTAAATGATCAAATTTCTCTATAATATCAAAGAAGCATACTTACTCATTTTCATGATTTAACTGCGTCACATGCATAAATGATGAAAGATTCAGCAAGTTGTGTGCCACGAATTCTCTGAATGCAGATCTGGTTGTATTGCACACTTGCTCTCATTTTGATGTCCTCCCCGCCGCCAACGCCACCCTATTTGAGAGGGCGCCACTTATCACTTCATAGTCTCGTTTCACCAGAGAACCCACACAGAACCTATAGATCATTTGATATATACACGGTATAAAAGGATTATCTCTGGTGTGTGAATGTAGAGACATATGTGGTCATAGCGGTAGCAACTCTCCGCAATCTCCGTTTGATTTCGTACTGAATATTTCGACGATCAACTTGAACGAGACCTAGTAAATGGCCATGCTACCGTCCAAGAAACGTGTCTGTTACTATTATGATAGTAAGTATCACGAAAATCCATACGCAAAAATATACCTCAGATCTTCATTGAATCGCATTCGTATTCCTCATATTATTTTTCTTTTTTCTGCTGTAGCTCAGTGTCTGATCGCTTATCCGCCTGTTTGTGCTTCACCAATGATTAATGCAACAAGGCATGATTATTTCGACGCGATACCCTGCAATTCGTATACTTCTATTACTGGATGATACAATTTTTACGAGGTTAAGCCGAGAGATTCTCACACGTTTTATCGCGCGACCATAGCATCAGCCATTCTTGCAGTATCATCGCAATATATTCGAGAATCTTTGATGTCAAATCACTCCCGCGTCTATTGATTTTGTTAGTTTATTTATGCCTCTAATTATAATTGATAATCGTCTCATACTTTGGTCCCTCGATTGATTTTTTCAAATTTTATTATGCGATTGAACATCAATTAACGAATATTTTACAAGCTATATAAATGTTTGCCAAATAAAATAATTATCTATTCTGTATTTAAAGTTATTTATTTTTATTGTGCAGTGTTGTTTTGTGCCAAAAACAAATTAAATTTATGATTAAGATGATTGCAGATTAAGAGAATGTTAGATTTTGCAAGCTTATTGATTGCAATATGTTATTTCACATTATGTAACTTGCGTTTTTTAAACATGTTCCACAAAAATCGTCAATTTGACTAGTACAATTAGAAATAATAATAGAAATTATGAGAAATTCTTAAGTGTACTCCGGTCCACCATATTACATAAATATATATGATCTTATCAAAATGCACCTTTTGATGATAGCAATATATTTAATGTTTTGTAAGGGACTGTGTCAATTTATTTCTATACATGTTTTTTTTTAATTTATTAGGTGAAATTGGAAATTATTATTATGGCCAAGGACATCCTATGAAGCCACATCGTATAAGGATGACACACAATTTACTCTTGAATTATGGTCTTTATAGAAAGATGGAGATATATGTAAGAACTTTTTTGTAATCATCTTTCATTATTTTGACATTTTCAACAACTATTGTTTTCTATAACATGGCTATTTAATTATGTTGTTAAAATATATTTCACATTTTACTATACTAATTGTATTTCATTATTATTTAGCGACCACATAAGGCCACAGCAGAAGAAATGACAAAATTTCATAGCGATGACTATATTAGATTCCTGAGATCCATACGACCGGATAACATGAATGAATACAATAAGCAAATGCATCGATGTAAGATATTATTCAATATCAGTTATAACAATAGTTATGTTATAAAGATTAAAAATATTTTAACGTTTCTTTCTTTTTGGGGGAAAACAGTTAATGTAGGAGAAGATTGCCCTGTTTTCGACGGCTTGTACGAATTCTGCCAATTATCAGCTGGTGGCTCTGTAGCCGCTGCTGTGAAACTTAATAAGCAAGCTTCTGAAATTTGCATAAATTGGGGCGGTGGCTTGCATCACGCCAAGAAGAGCGAAGCGTCAGGCTTTTGCTATGTGAATGACATTGTGCTGGGAATCTTGGAATTGCTGAAGTATCATCAGAGAGTCTTGTATATCGATATCGATGTTCACCATGGCGATGGTGTAGAGGAAGCATTTTATACTACGGATAGAGTGATGACGGTTTCGTTTCACAAGTATGGCGAGTACTTCCCTGGAACTGGAGATCTCCGCGATATCGGGGCAGGGAAGGTAAGGAATTTATTAGAACGTTTATAATTATTCATTTATGTTACTTTTCGCATAAAGTGATCTTTGTATTAATTTAATTTTAATTGATCATTAAACGTATATGATTTTTCTTCTGCTGTTGCTAACAGGGAAAGTATTATGCTGTCAACATACCTTTGCGAGATGGCATGAATGACGAGAGCTACGAGTCAATATTCGTTCCTATCATTTCGAAAGTAATGGAGACTTTCCAACCCTCTGCTGTCGTTCTGCAATGTGGCGCCGACTCATTAACTGGTCAGTTTTTTAACGGGTTTCTGAAAAACAGAAAAAAAAATTATTACTATGCAAGTTTTCACATGTTTCAACATTAATGTCAATTCAGGCGACCGACTGGGATGCTTTAACTTGACTGTGAGAGGTCACGGCAAGTGCGTGGAATTCGTCAAGAGATATAACTTGCCCTTCCTGATGGTAGGAGGTGGTGGTTATACAATCAGAAATGTGTCCAGATGCTGGACGTATGAAACATCCGTAGCTTTGGGATGTGAAATTGCGAACGAGCTTCCCTATAACGATTACTTTGAGTACTTTGGTCCTGACTTTAAGCTACACATCAGCCCATCAAATGTGACAAATCAAAACACTCCCGAATATCTCGAGAAAATAAAGTGAGTCGGTCTTGCAGTTCTATATTTTTCCAATTTATATATAGTATATATTATGAGCAACTGAATTTGTAATTACATTTTATCACAGAACAAGGTTGTTTGAAAATCTGAGAATGCTGCCTCACGCACCTGGTGTACAGGTTCAAACAATTCCAGAGGACGGTACTATTATCGATGATTACGAGACTGAAGAGAACATAAATCCTGATGAAAAGTTGCCCCAGCGCGATTTAGATAAGAGAATACAACGTGAGAATGAGTACAGTGACAGTGAAGACGAAGGAGAAGGTGGACGAAAGGATAATAGATCATACAAAGTAATGATCTTTATTATGTTAATGTTTCATTAATTTAATATTAAAATATATATATCTAAAATATTAAGAACTAATATTAAAATATATATATATATATATTCATAATATTCTTATATTTCGATTTTTTCGTATCAAAGGGGTCTAAAAAACGATTGCGTTTAGAAAAAGGACATGATATTGATATGCATATGATGAACATCAATATAAAGAAAGAGGACACAGAGTTGAGAGGTATTAAAAGGGCCCATCAACATCACTATCTTTTTATCTTATCTCTGAATCAATATTAAATTATTTGTTACAAATGATTGAAATTTAATAATATTAATTTATTTTATTTAGAAAATGATAAAACCGAGAGAATGAATTATGCGAACGAGGAAATGAAGAGAGAAAATTTCTGATGACTCATTCAAGATCTGCACATCTGCAAAAGTACAAAACTTCTTATTTAAATTAGGCATAAGTAGATAATTTAAGTAAAGGCTGCAATTGTATAAATATGTTCGAAGAGCGGTATCCTCGCGGTGCAATCGACGAATAGTCCCTTTGGGCCTGGGCGAAGACGGGCGCATGGGAAGCCAATTACATAGAAATATATAAAATACGTTAGCGATAAGGAGCTAACAATTACTACAAGAATAGAAAGAAATCATCGGCTCATCAGAAAGACAAGATTACAAACTTGTGAATTTTGTATGTTAACTGTATTTGTACTTTTGTATTTATCAAAAACTCGAGATATGTAAAATTTCATGCTTCTGAGCATGCAATCAAGATAAGAACAATATCTTATATTAAGATAAAAAAATAGAGAACGTAATTCGAATAAGATGTTTTATGTTTTTCAAATGAACCACTCAAAAGGAAATAAAATCTTCGTCATGAAATGAGGCTGTATCATTTGTTCATATTGCGCTGACTTTATTACTTGGTATGTACAATGATTTAGTTATGTAAAGCAAAAACACTCTTATCAAAATGATGATTCTTCGGCAAGAACGGCTTCACTTTAATTGCGTTTCTAGTTTTCTGACTACTTCAAGCAGCACTTTCTGTTGTATATCCCGTTGTAATTTGTTCTCCAACTCTTCCAGCGCCGCTCCGCCTTGCATAAACCCGATTAAATTATGAAGAGTTCCGTTCTGCAGCCTGTGATCGGTCACGCGATCCTGAGTATAGTTGTACGTCCTAATTTTCTCGTTCCTGAGTCCCAGCCCCATCTGTTTGCGCCGCAGCTCGGTCGTGAATGACGTCTGCTTATTCAATTGCTTTTCGTATAAGATGCTCCTCAACTTCGTCATCGCCATCTCCTTGTTCTTGCCTTGCGATCGATGCACCTGACAAGTTACGCTCAAGCCGCTCGGCAGATGAGTTATTCTCACCGCGGAATCGGTGGTGTTCACGTGCTGACCGCCCGCGCCGGACGCACGTTTCGCTTCTATCTTCAGATCCTTGTCGTTGATCGCAATCTCCACGTCCGACGGCGCCGGCAGGATCGCCACCGATGCGGTGCTGGTGTGTATTCGACCCATTTTCTCTGTGGCTGGTATCCGCTGTACGCGATGCACGCCACCCTCGTGCCTGAACTTGGAAACTTCATCGCCGGATATTATAACGCTGACATGTCTCAGGCCGTTGTTATCCGTCATTTCCATATCGATCACCTCGTAAGTTAAACCCAAGTACTTGGCGTAACCCATGTACAAATCAAACAAGTCTTTTACAAACAACATCGCTTCCTGACCACCGACGCCCGCTGTTATCTCCACGATAATGCTATTGTAAGATTCTCTGCACATGTTGGCCAATATTGTATCGAGCAATCTCTTGTCGAGCTCATTTAATTGCTCCTTGTACAACGCTTCTTCTTCCTCAGCCATTTTCTTCATCTCTACATCTTGTTTCACTGTAAAAGAAATTTTGTCGTTTTTTATGTAAAAGAAAAGAATTGTATGAACATAATAAAATATGAGCAAGTAACTACTCAATTTTCTTAAGCTTTTTGGTTAAAGCAAAGATATTAATAAGATATTAAAAAGATGATATCAATATAAAAATATATTTTTTCTTTCAAATATGTAGTCTATAATGATAGCTATACAGAAAAAGATTTTATAAAGCATAACACTTACCTAAATCTTGTAAATTCTGAATATTTTCTACGAGCTGAGCCCTGTTGTTTAGCAAGTTACCAGAGACATTTAAATCGATAAATTCTAAAAGGTCATTATTTCCGTGGAATTCATTCTTGTATTCCTTAGCCAAATAATCTAGACACCTTCGAATTCTGTCGTTTGAAATATTTGGACTCGTGTGTACATTGCATAAATTTCTGGAAATTTTTAGGTTAACCAGCGATAAGGCACGTAACTCGCGAACCTTCGTTGGGCTTACGAGTTTCATATATTGCCAATAATTGTCGAATCTGCATCTTCGAAGCAGAGACATTCTGTGAATAGTTTGTGTCACCTAATCATGCGAATGCAAATTCCGGTTTCTGCTTACACCCGACGAACCGAATCGTTACGATTGCCAGCTGATTCGAACTGTAAACAGCAATGATCAGCTGTGTCATGTCGTCTGCTATCAATAATGAAAACTTGGCAAAGTGAATGCTAAATCATTTCTTTGTGAAATTTGAGAACGCACAATCTTTGTTGTAATTACTTACTTGTAATATTTCATATACTAAATAAATCATTCTTGTATAAAACTTTTATATAGATTTTATTCTATTCGTTTATACATTTTACTACTAAATTTTTTTCTTACTTTAAATAGATTACAATACAATTATTTATATAACTGTAAAAAATGGAGCAGATAACATGTATTGTACATATATGTTCTTTTGGATATATTCTTTATAATACAGAGATATATAAATCATATTCAATGATTTCTATCTTTCTTATCACAATTATAGAAATTGCACAAGGAAATAAAAAAGCATTAATCATGTAAATAAAAAAAAAATCGCAAATACGTATGTCAAAAGTGCTAAGCAGATTGTGCTTCTCTCATTCATGTCAAAGTGCTGTTTCACACAACAGGAGAAGCGCAATCGTGTTTCTTGACACTCAGACAGTTAAATAAAATCGGTTAAATAGAAATAGAATTTCATGAAATATAAATTAACAAGCTCCAACGAGTTAATAAATTTGCTTGTGCTCTTTTTTAAGAAAAAAAAACTGTATAAAAGAATAAGTGATAGAAAATTTATTTTTTGGTTATGCAGTCTGCAATAATAGCTACACATTTAAGAAACACATTTTATAAAGAAGTGGTTGAGTTAAACAAAACAATCCACAACAATAATGAGACCATCTGAATTATACACAAGTATTTTGTATTATAACTCATATGGCTATCAATATAATAATTATCATTTGCATAAAAGACAACTTTCATAAATCGCTATTGTCCAAACATGCCCAAAAATTATGTATGTAATGAAATTAGTCATAGAACAAAACTTTATTGTACATTAGATGTCATAGATACCTTAACATGTATTAAATAAATTTCAAAGAGCTCTTTCGAGAAGAAAACGGGTTGTATCCAGTATATATTCATGTATCACAATTATTTGTAATCAAAAATAGTACAGCTAACATTTAAAATATATCATACCTTAAATCACCCTTATTTTTATTTTTGTTTTTATAAAATGTAACACCTCTTTAGTGCTTTAGTTACATACTTTATTATACGTACCAATTGTAGTATGTATTATTAACGTAGATACGATGTGCTGGTTCAAAAAATGCCCATCCAACGACGATTAAGGCATTTATGATGCCTAGTGTACGCTAGTGTGACTTGTTTCTTATTTCTTCTTCTTAACTTTTAAATCTCTATTTTTCAGACTTCTGCGTGTCAAGCCCCAAAATGCTTTGGGCCTTAAATCAGACTCTGTTGCTGTGAACTTCCATCCAACATGATGAAGACAACCTTTACAGATAGCTATTGTCCAAGCATATCTAAAATCATACAATTATTATTAAATGGCAAAAAGTATACAATTTTCATGCGTTAAAACTACTCTTTACCCTGGAAACCAACTGTACTCAGTCGAAGGGGGCGTATCGCTAAGCATAACACCTTGTACGTGATAAAAAGTTATAGTCTCATGTATAACACCGCCTGGATTGACGTAAGTACCCTGCGGGCCTTCTCTATTCATCGGAAACATATGCGATTGCCTTCCGATAAAGGATTCGCAATTAACGCACACGTAGATGTTATCCTTCAAAACAACAGATATATTAGGGAAAGTCCAAAAGTTAAAGAACTTCTCCGACTCCAAAATTAATTAAAAACACTTGAATAAGCATCTATAGACGTATATTTTATACCTACGTACCTCTACAAGATACTTCATTTCTCTCTGCAATCGAGAAATAGCGCAATCGTAGTTTAATAACATGAGTCTTTCACTGTGATCCATAAGAATATTTTGCGCTACCCAAAAGGACAAATCTACAGGATCTTTAGGTACATTACCACCCCCTACAAAATACAACATACAAATGCAAATTGCGATAAATGTTAAATTTACGTAAATAATCTTACAATTGCAACCTACTAGTTTCAAGAAACTGCAGATGCTGACGTATTTTAAAGGAAAGCCTTTTAGGATCGTACAGTCTATAAACCCAAGCTGGCCAAGCAGTAACCGCAGCGTCTAAGTTTTCCACTCTCTCTTGCTTTTTCATATCTTTCTTCTGCTTTTTTATGTCGGTCTCCGAATCGGGAAAGACTCTCAAGTGATCTAATGAGGCCAAACGTTGGTCCAAGAATGGCGGCCCAAGTGTTATTTCTGGTAACACTTTAACATTGGCCGAAATTTTATTGTGATCCTGATTATAAGTAATATCAAATTCTGGTAAATAAATCATAATAAGCGTAGCAAATCGGCAGACGTATCACTATATTGTTATACTAAGTCAAAAAGGCACATTTTAATTATTTTTCAATATTATATATAAAGATTTCGTAAATTATAAAATAAAGTTTTATGCCGTTTTTGAGATATAATTTAATTTGCTAGGTTTTACAGCATTCTTCAATAAAATACATAAAATTGTAACTTTGGAAATGTATGTACTATGCTCAAATCTACAGTTTAATACTAGAATAATTTAAAAAAAAATAATATGCCTTTTTTCACTTGGAGTAATATAGTATTAATACACTGATATTTAATATCAAAACTTTTTAATAATATTCTATACTTATAAATATTTTAATAATTAATTTATTACATCGTTTTTTTGCATTTAACATTTGTTTATTTGCATCTCAACCAAATAAAAACTGACCTGTGTGATAATGCGCAATATCTTAAAGCGCTGCCTGCCTTTAGCTTTTAAGCGAAATTCTCGCCGACCGTGATCTGTCCATCCGCCGTCTGTGTATTCATAAATCTCGGCTGTAGTTCCTATTCGCTCCATCTCTGGATAACCATAACACACAACACCAAAGGTGCGGTCGTTTTGTATACAGTTTTGCAGCATCTCTATGGTCTGTGCGCCAAACACAGTCATGGGTAATGTTTGTCCAGGAAATAATACAGACTGCTTTATCAATAGTGGTAGATTCATATAAATGCCATCATCCAATATTGTTCTTCCCCTTAATTCTTCTAAATTTTGTCCTAAATACTATAAAACATATTCATAATTATCTCTTAAAGATATATTATACGCTTAGGATGTCTATTCAACTTTTTCCCTGTTTTTCCAAGTAATTTTAATTAAATTTCTAGATAAAAATATAATATTTTTTACATATATTTTATCTTAGCATAAATTTGTTCTTGTACGAGCTTCTTAATATTTTTTATTCATACTTATAAAAAGAGAGAAAAATTATTCAACCTTTAAATATTACATTTTGAAAATGCCAAACAGAATTAAAGACAAAATCAGCTTTAATTAATCACAAAATATAAGCAAAATTCTCAGAAATGTGTTAAAAAAATAATTTCCCAAGTTTCAATAAAATTTGTTGAGAATTTCGGGATTTATAGATTTTTCAAAATAATAGACATCCTAGCAGTAGCGAAAATGAACATTACGCAAAATATCTTTTAGGTGGTAGAAAAAGCACACTTACAGAGTGTGTTGCTGGTAATGTAACATCAAATGTGTTCTCTGTGGGCACTGGTACATCATCCATGTTGGACTCTAGTCTATTGGTCGATGGGTCTATAAATATATTATAATACATGCTAAATGATACAATAATTCCTTCTTTTAATATATTAATCAGTATAATTTTTTCTTTTTTTTATATTCCAAAAGATTGGAATTAGATTTTTTTATATTACAAACATTGGAAAAAGAAAACTGTAGAGGTGTAAAATATAGTGAAAAATATACCTGGTTCATCCGTGCTTATTTCTGACCAACTTTCAAACTCCTCGTCCGGGCCATTGCGTGGAGCCTCTGCAAAGCAGTTTAACTTCAACATTGGGCACTTCAATAATCTCACGCACAGTTGCGTCAATGTCATTTTGTATCTATGTCTCGTAGATTAAGTTACAATCTAAAAAGTGACAGCGAATTACTATAAACAAAGATTTGGGCCATCAACTTTGCAATCGACTTTGTAAAAAACGTATTTGACAAACATACATTTTCGCGTATAACCTTATATACTATAGATTTTTCGCGGTGATTACGATATATTCTCGAGAAACGTACCTACGATGCGAAGCTCATCGTCGCTTTGTTCGCTGTCATAATCTTCATCAAAGTCCATTATTATTTACGGCGCGAAGCAAATCCGTTCAGCTTGTGTGTAAGCAAACCACATATGTATCCTTTCCTCTCGCGTCGCAACTCAGACATTAGGGTGGGGAAGAGTGCATTTGCGTTCTCCGGAAATGAAACAGGGACGCGGAACAACACAGAGCGATGAACTACGCGTTACCAGGGGGCCATAAATCTGCTTCATTGATATCCGCTATTGTTCAAACACCATTACTTTCCGCGTTTTCGGCACGACTCAAAGTATTATTGCAAAACAACTTGCAATCGCGCTATGGTGAATATAGATTTCGGCGTATGGCGATCGATTCGCGCGGACTCCCGCCTTTATTTGAAAACGCCATCTCTGCTTTGAGAGCTAAAAACAAAACTATGTAACTGACACTGTGAACCGAGCATAAATAGAACCATAAACTGAGATATATAAATTTTGCTCGACAAATACAATTTTATTTGGCGTTTATGTTTAATTAACACTTTTCTGACCAGTGAAACATATGTTCTAATTACTTTACAATTTTCTCAATCAGTGGAACGGATAATAATAAAATTATAACCATTTATTTGTCCAAGTGTCGGTAATTGAAAAAAATTGTCTCAGAATTACCTTTTATTTTTTTTTATATTATATATGTATATACAACTATTATTAATCACTAATACTTATGTGGCCTAAATGGACGATTTGGATCAAACAATTGTGGATCTGTAACATATTCTGGTTCTTTAGTCCAATAACCCATTAAGCCTGTAATATAAAAAAAGTGTATAATTAGAATTTGATAAATTTCCATTTTCTTATAAATCCAATAACACAAGCTGGATATACCTGCAGATTGTGCCTTCAAAATTTCTTCTTCTAGCCTCTTCTGCTTGTGTTTGCATAATCCAGTTATGTGTCTCCCGTATATTTTACCTGTGTGTCTACTTTGAAACTGAGAAAGTAATCTAACATTTTTATAATCCGGTTCAATATTCAATTTACACAGAACACACAGACGTTTCTCCTTTGTATAAGGATTTCGGATTTGTATAGGCTGAAACATACAAATATATACAGTAATTATAATGAGTTAAAATTTATGCCTGTGTGCCTTAATGTGCGATAATTAAAATATTCGTACAAAAATATATTGTGAATATAGAATACACAAAGTTACATGCAAAAATATTTCAGTTTAGAAACAGCATACAAGGCATGGATTTAATTTACCATATCATCTTCCACTGCTACACTTTCTGCCAATACAGAACTATCAGCAGCAGATTTACTTATAGTTCGAAAACACAATCTATAAAATTTATCAGCGATAAATGTCATCGCGGTTCTTTCTACGGCAGGAAAAATCATCTCGCTGGTGCTTGAAATCAATCCGCATAAACATAACCTTTCAATCCTGTTCAATCCTTCGGAATTATTCTGCTAGAAATCAGTATGACCAATCATCGAAGTCACGTAGGGATTATAGAATGTAAAGGGTTGATAAATAAAATAACCAAATTCCCTTTGCGCTGAAATATATTATCCAAAGTCCCTAAAAGACAAATATTTTTATTGGACACCGTCGAACAATAAATGCAGCGTGAATTGTACATAATTTTGCGGGATATACTTGCCGGGTGTCACCTACTCGTCTTTAACGGTTTCGTGGCCGTGCGACTAGACGAGTCGCGCTGCAGGAGTCTCTACCACTCTTTCGCGGCTTTCTCGGTTGTGAGAATCGTTTCTTTATCAGCAGGTGTTGTATTCAGAATTTTGACACAGCAGTGGGGCAAATCTTGCCCGTGATACGATCTATTACGAACTGTCATTGACAAATACTTCTGTTCAGGTGCGACCGCGACGTAAAGCACGATGTTGTCCTGGGTGCAGGAGGCAGTGAAAATGAATCCGTTCTCGTCGCCGTTCACGACGGCCAAGTGTCAGGCACTTCAAGAGGACGGTGCGCGGCCGCTTGTTCCAAATCGGAACATCGCCGCCGCTGCCATTGCAGAGGGTGGTCAGTAAATTATTTTTATTTCCCCCGCAATTTTTTGTCGGCTCAAGTTGACAGTGAAACGAGCGATTGAGCGATTCTCTCAGACCCTGTCGATCGAGAGGTTATATTTCACATTTTAACGCAACTCTGCGGCTAGATGTCACGAAGCATTTTTACTGACGATGCGAATGGCTGCTTTCACTCTCTGGTG